TGCGTGTGCGTGCGTGCCTTTGAGGCGTGTATTATGCATGTGTATGTATAATTCTTTTCCGAATGTATTCTGATTCTCACACTCGTTTAATTTTCGTTACTCCGTCATGCATTCACACACGCACACGTACAAGCACGTACAAACACATATCACATATCTATGGTAACGCATGTTTGTTATGAAGCACACGCACATACGTACACACGCGCGCAAACAAACACATATACACACTCACACACAGATATATATTTTTTATACGCGTTTGTTTGATTGTTTCGTTGTATTATTTAACGCCCACCTATGTTTATATGCTGTAATAACTACAAATAATAATATAATAATAATAATACAATAATAATAATAATAACTACATCGAATAGTTCAAACTGCGAAAGTTGTTTTCATTATTATGTGATGAGCTTTCTACTCGTTATATAAGAAGCATGTGTGATACAAGTATATTTATAAATAATTATATATGTATATATATATATACAATACACTATATATATATATATATATATATATATATATATATATACAATACACTATGTATACATACAATACACTTCATATCGCAAACATCATATCGTTAATACATCAATGTACATTCATCTAGTCAATATGCTGAAAGTATGGTTAAATATCATTCATTCATTTGTTCGTTCGTTTGTTCATTCGTTCATTCATTGGTTCATCCATGCGTTCATTCATTTGTTCGTTTCTATTTTCATTGATATATATATATCTATATATATGTGTGTGTGTGTGTATGTAAATGTGCGTGTTTCAGGTATATATGCAGTTTAAAAACCAATGCATTTATCGTGTAAACAGTATATAGTATAGGTTAATATATATATTTAAGCTGAGTTTGATTGTTCAATTAGATTGTTTGTTTGTTCATTCATTTTTCATTCATCATTCATTCTTTTATATATTTACCTTGTTCGTTCGTTCGTTCATTCATTCATTCACTAACTCGTTCATTCATTCATTCATTCATTCGTTTGTTGCTAAGCCCTATCAGTTTATTTATTTTCTTGTTATAATTATATATTCATTCACTTGCTTATTCATTCATTGATTCATTCATTTGTTCATTCATTTGTTCATTCACTTATTTATAAAGTTTGTTCTTTCATTTCAGTCGTTCATCTTTCATTCATTCATTCATTCATTCATTCATTCATTCATGGTGTATTTCATTCTTCTCTACCCTCATTCATGCCAGATGCTCAATTCTTCAATTCATCTATCTATCTGTCAATCTTATTCAATATTGTTATTATCATTATAATTATTATTGCTATTTACATTGTGTGAACAACGTGAAACTCAAATGGAACTTTGCATGGAGCGCACAGAAATTTATTTCTCCTCCTCCTTCTTCTTCATCTTTTTCTTCTTCTTCTTCTTATTATTATTATTGATGAAGAAGATAAAGATGATAGCCATTCATAATGATGACGACATTATTAACTATAGCAAGTGATAGATACAGATGGAGAGAGAAAACAATGACGGTTACCATAAACTATGTTGCTACCCCCCAACACACACGCACGCACACACATATCTATATATATTTATATATATATACAGATGTTTATACATTGTCAATATTTATACTGCCTCTCGATTTAATATGACAGATTAATAATTAACCAGGTGCCTTTAGATAATAATTACGACAATGATTATAACTATAATTATTATTGTTCGTTTTTGTTATTATTATTATTATTATTGTTGTTGTTGTTGTTATTGCTATTGAATTGTAGTCTGCCGGCTCGGGTAGTTCGTATAATGTATTTATGTATGTACCTCTCATTTCTCTCTGACTGGCTTCGGTGTAAAGTATAGACTGTGGTAATAGTGTTATATCCCAACCGCCTGATTTCATCATGTCAGTGGTGTTTAAACAGTTTAAACGAACAAATGAATGATTATATTGATGGGAAAGATAAATAATAATAATAATAATAGTAGTAGTAGTAGTGGTAATAATAATAATAATGGTGATGATGGCTACGATGATGAAGATAGTTGTAATGATGATGGCGTTAACAATATTAATTGAAACAATCAGTGTCTTTGGTATTGGGTGTATTCTCTCTCTCCCCTCTTTCTCCTTTCTCTCTCTCTTTCTCTCTCTCTCTCTCTCTCTCTCTCTCTCTCTCTCTCTCTACCTATATGTATGTATGTGTGTGTATATATATATATATATATATATATATATATATATATATATATAGTATGTATATAGTATTTTGTATATACAAACTGTACAATAAATTAAATATATATATACTCCTCTTATTTATTCATATATATGTTATAATACTCTTACTTATTTAGGTTTTTGTTATATATATATATATATAATATGTATATATTATATATTGTTATTGTTGATTTTCTGTGTTTGTATATTACTGCAAACCATTTGTATTATAGTGTAAATTTTCTCTCTCACTTCCTATTTTTGTCTTTTTCTCTCTCTCTCTCTCTCTCTCTTGGTGCAAATATTTATTCAGAAATTGTACTCACAGTATGTTTGTATTTTACTCGCATATTCATCCGTTTTTCATTCCCCATTCGTTCATTCATTCACTTCGATTTTTCCTCTCTCTCTCTCTCTCTCTCTCTCTCTCTCTCTCTCTCTCTCTCTCTCTCTCTCTCATTCTCTCGCTATCACACTCGTTACTTTTCTTTATCATCCTTCTTTCTTTCTTCCTTTCTTTCTTCCTTTCTTTACAATTTATCATTCATTTTTGTCTCCCATCTCTCTCTCTCTCACTCTGTGTCTGTCGGTCTGCCTGTCTCTCTCTGCCACTCTTTCTCTCTTGCTCCTTCTATCATACAAGTGGCTCTATGGTGGGCTCAGGTAACTGTGATACCTGACGATAGTAATACAATTTATATACTTTTTATCATGAAATTTTATATTACCATTATTAGACACAATTTCGTCTAACCCTTATGTTATCAATACTCATTAAAGATCCTTCATATCATTAGTGATTTGTCGGTCTGCCTGTCTCTCTCTGCCACTCTTTCTCTCTTGCTCCTTCTATCTATCACTCTATCATAATGTTAATTATCAGTAACAATCATTTGTACAAAATAATTAAATATTTAACAAAATTATAAATAAACCTACATTACAATTTTAATGTTCTATATGTATATGTTTGATTGTACATATGTGTATTTGTGTGTATTTGTACGTTTTCCTCTATGTCCGTCTGTTTGTGTGTGTGT